ACAAAAAAGGCCAATTGATAGTTGAAAATATGCTCTTGGTGACAGAAACTATGCCAAAGATCACATGATAGCATTTTGCAAGACCAAGGACCTATACATGGCAAATACCTTTGTCAACAACATAAAAATAGACTATACACACTTACTTTGCTGGATGAAATACACAGGAATAGAATCAACTACATTCATGGAAAGAGACAGTGGAGAAGCTCAATATCAGTCAGAACAAGGCCAAGAGCTGACTACAGAGCAAACTAGCAATTGTTCCTATGTAAGTTGAAGCTGAAGAAAATTAAAACAAGTTCATGAGAACTAAAATACAACCTTGGGCATACCCTGCTTGAATTTAGAGATCATCTGAAGAATAGATATAATGCACTGAACACCAGTGAACAAAGTTGTGGGATGACATCAAGAATATCACACATGAAGAAAGCAAAAAGTCATTAAAAAGACAAGAAAGGAAGAAGAGACCAAAATGGATGTCAGAAGAGACTCTGAAACTTGCTCTTGAACAGAGTAGCTAAAGTGAACGGAAGAAATAATGAAGTAAATGAGCTGAAGAGAAGATTTCAAAGGACAATTTGGGAGGACAAAGTAAAGTATTATAATGAAATGTGCAATGATGTGGAATTGGAAAATCAAAGGGGAAAAACACTCTCGGCATTTCTTAAGCTGAAAGAACTGAAGAAAAAAAGCAAACCACAAGTTGCAATATTAAAGAATCTCATGGGTGAAGTATTGAACTATGAAGGAAGCATCAAAAGAAGATGGACTGGCTCTCAGCCCAACAGTGGAAAGACCTACATGAAGAACACATACCCCAGGGTGATGCACCTACCTACTCTATGGAGATGCACCCCTTAGATCAATGAGCCATGAGACACCAGAGGGGCAGCATTCACATAGAGGGAAAGCTGGACAGACAGGAAAGCAAGTTAAGACGGGCACAGGGAGGGGGTAGTCACAGGGAGGGGAGAGGAGGAGAGTTTTTATGGTTGGGGATGATAATAGGGGCGTGAAATCAAATGTGCATGAACTGTCGAATGTAAAACAAATTTTCTTTGTAAATTTGCACCCAACGCACAATATAAATAAATAAATAAATAAATAAGAGAGAAAGAAAAGAAGATGAAAGGAATACACAAAGACACTGTACCAAAAAGAATGGGCCAATGTTCAACCATTTCAGGAGGTAACATATGATCAAGAATCAATAGTATTGAAGGAAGAGGTCACAGCTGCACTGAAGGAATTGGCAAAAAAACAAGGCTCCGGGAATTGACCGAAATAAACACCTGAGATGTTTCAACAAACATTTGCAACACTGGAAACACTCATTTGTCTGTGCCAAGAAATTTGAAAGACAGCTACCTTGCCAACCAACTATAAGAGATCCATCTTTGTGCCCGAAGAAGGTGATACCACAGAACGCAGAAGTTATGTAACAGTATCATCAATATCACATGCAAGTAAAATTTTGCAGAAGATTCAAAAACAATTGGAGCAGTACATCAACAGGGAACTGTCAGAAATTCAAGGTAGATTCAAAGAGCACATGGAATGAGGTATATCATAGCTGCTGTCAGATGGATCTTGGCTGAAAGCAAAAATACCAGAAAGATGTTTGCCTGTGTTTTATTGACTATACAAAGGCTATTGGCTCTGTGTTTGATAACAAATTATGGATAACATTGCAAAGAATGGGAATTCTAGAACACTTTATTGTATTCATGCAGAACAGAGACCATGAGGCAGTGATTCAAACAGAACAATGGGCTACTGCATGGTTTGAAATCAGGAAAGGTATGCATCAGGGTTATATCTTCTCACCATATTTGTTCAGTCTGTATGCTGAACAAATAATCTGAGAAAATGGACCATATGAAGAACATAGCATCTGGATTAGAGATAGACTCATTAACAACCTGTGATATGCAGATACTGTTTGACTTGGTTGCTGAAAGTAAAGAAGGCTTGAAACACTTACTGATGAAGATCAAAGACTGCGGCCTTCAGTATGGATTACAACTCAACATAAAGAAAACAAAAGTTCTCCAAACTGTACCAATAAGCAAAATTATGATAAAACAGAGAAAATGTTGACATTGTCAAGGATTTAATTTTACTTAGATTCACAATGCTCATGGAAGTAGCAGTCAGGAAATCAAAAAACATCTTGCAATAGATCTTCTGCAAATCTTCTGCAAAAGACCTCTTTAAAGTGTTCCAAAAAAACAAAAACAAACTGTGATACCACTTTGAGCATTAACATATGCCTGGCCCAAGCCATAATACTTTCAATAGCCTCATATTGCATATGAAACCTGGACAAATGAATAAGAAAGACCAAAAAAAAAAAATTCTGTATTTGAATTATGATGTTGGCAAAGAATATTGGATATACATACCATGGACTGTCAGAAGAACAAAGAGCCAGAAAATATAGAGCGAGAATCCTCCTTAGAAGTGAGGATGGAAAGACTTTATCTCATGTACTTTGGACATGTTATCAGGAGGGACCAGTCTCTGGAGAAGAACATCATACTAGGTAAAGTTGAGAGTTAGTGAAAAAGAAGACAACCCTCAAGGAGATGGACTGATACGGTGGCTGCAACAATGAACTCAAACATACCACCAACTGGGCAGATGGCACAGGACCAGGCAGTGTATCATTTGATTGTACACAGGGTTGCTGTGAGTCAAAACTGACTCAGTGGCACCTAACAAGAAGAGCAATAGTACTATTGGACTTTAAAGTTTATGCACAGGCGTGGCTGAGGTTATCAGGAAAAGGTAAAGGAAAGCAGAAGACAGAAAGATATATGGAACCAAAACTAAACCAGACTTAACTGAGCAGAGGACACAGGATGTCTGGATAAACTGCACTTAACAGCACTAATGAATTAAAGAATTCAAAAGCAGGAAATCCTCTCCACAGCCTAACCAAAAAGCCAAACTCACTGCTGTGGCATCAATTCTGAGGCATAGCCAAACTATAGGACAAAGTAGAACTGCCCTATAGGGCTTCCAAGGATGTAAATCTAGGGCAGCAGACAGCCCCATCTTTCTCCCACAGAGTGGCTTGTGGATTTGAACCACCAAACTTTTGGTTAGCAACTGAGTGCTTTAACCACTGTGCCATCAGGGATCCTTCTCCACTGCCTCTCCCTCCAAAAAAAGCTCACTGCCACCTAGTTGATTCTAAATCATAGTGATCTTCATTGGGTTTCCAAGGCAGACTGCCTCACCTTTTTTCTGCAGAGTGCCTGATGGGTTTGAACCATCAACCTTTTGGTTGGCAGCCAAATGCCTTAATCACTATACCACCAGGGCTCCTTGAACAGAGCTAAAGTCCACTGCCTGTTGTTGTTGTTATGTGCCGTCGAGTATCCTTCCAAGGAATTAGATTGCTCCATCTTCCTTCCAAGGAGTGGCTGGTGGGTTTGAACCACCAGGCTTCTGGTTAGCAGTCAAGTGCCTTAGGCACTACGCTACCAGAGCTCCTCTACCACTGCCTAGAGTCGCTTAATTAATTTCTCTGAAGTTTAACCAGATTAATTTACAATCTATTTCTTTTCTGCCTTTTTTTGTTTGGTAGAAACATAATAAGAAAATGATAGTTCAAGACTTTATTTTTTTCACTAGTATTAAAATTATTTTAAAGACCCAAGAAATTATCTTCTTATGTAATAGTTGATTTAAAATCCTTACTTCTTGTCAGAAATTATGTTTCATTTGGTGTCAAACAATAAAAGTTGTTTGGATTTTTTATACTTGGGATTGCTCAATATCTAAGCATTAGGAGAACATTTCTCACCCCTGCCTCCCCTATTCACTCCCTCCCAAGCTCAGAGATGCAATAAGTCAGTCTCTGTCTTCTCTTCCATCCTTGAATCATGAAAATGCTAGGAAAAAAAAAAAATAATACCAGCAGAGCTCAATCAGACTATGTCAGACAGGAGTCTATATAATTAATTTAACTCTTATTTTGAACAAAACTTCTCAAATGATATTTCGAATCAAACATTGCCTTTGAATCCTATCAATAGCAATTACTATGTGGCCTCTGACAAGTTAATTCACTTTGTCAAACTTATATTTCCTCTCTTATCTATAAAAAATGATCCAAGATGCTCACAAAACCTGGAGTTGTGGAAAGTTTTAATGAAGTGATATAAACAAACATATAGGGTAGTGCTGGATACTAGATATATGTTCAGTAAAATTAGATTCTCCCTGCAGAAATATTTTCTATCTCACCCTCAAGCCACACTTTTCGTCTAAAAAAAAAAAAAAAAAAAACCCTGCCATTGAGTTTCTTCTGACTCATAGAAACCCTATAGGACAGAGCAGAACTACCCCTCCACACACACAGGGTTTCCAAGGTTGTCAATCCTTATGGAAGCAGACTATCATATCTTTCTCCCACACAGTGGCCTGTGGGTTCGAACTGCCAACATTTTGCTTAGCAGCCGAATGTCTTAACCACTAGACCAAGAGAGCGCCTTTGTGATTACAAAATCCCCTTCTGTACTCACAGGAAGTCTCACTTCTTCAAATGAAAAAAAAATCATTATTTCAGAATTGAAAGCTCTTCTCTAGATATTAACTTCTTTTCTATCTGAATGAAATATTACAGTGAGGAGTCAGGAGGGGGACAGAGACCTATATAAACTTTCCTTACTTCATGCTGAAGGCATTTGACTGCTAAACAGAAAGCTGGCGATTCAAACCTACCAGCCACTCCTCAGAAGGAAGGTTGCACAATCTACTTCTGTAGTGATATTGCCTCGGAAACCACTGAGTCGGATACAACTCGATGGCAGTGCGTTGCATTGTGTTTGTTTGTTACTTCATGAAAAAGTCCCCATGGAAACTACCCTGTGATTTTTCAGGCAATCTCACACAGCCCAGCCAGACCTCCCTTGACCTCTGAAAGAACTATTTAAAGTAGTCATGTAGGTGGAGCAAAGGATACTCCTTCCAAAGGCACTGACCTTCAACCCTGGCTGACCTTGTCTTCCTCTTGGCCCCTAAGAATAGAAGGGAAACAGAAACCTTAGAGAAAAAACAAATCAATCTTTTCCCAAAATCATTTCACTCCCTCTCCCACAATGGCAGGGGGAATATACTCCACAAGCAGTTATACCTACATTAGGGCCGATGTTTCCAGTTTCCCCTTGAAGTCCATCAAAACCAGAACTTCCCTGAAAAGTAAGAGATGAAATCAAGTCAGCTTAGATGTCTACACATCTGTGTCTATTCTCTAGACCTGCTTTGCTCAATGTGGATATCACTGGCCAGGTGTGGCCACTTAATTAAAATTAAATAAAATTTAAAATTTAATTCTTCAGTTGCACTATCCACATTTTAAGTGCTCACTAGCTACATATGTCTAGTTTTTACCATATTAGACAGCACAGATATAGAACATTTCCACCATCTCAGAAGGTTCAATTGGTCAGTGCCTCTCTACAAGCAAATAACAGTAAATTTCGGTGTTTCGAAACATCAGTGTTGCATCCATCTTTCCCCAAAGTTTGTTCCTTTGGCATCTTCTTGGAATTCACCATGCTGGGGCATATTCTTCAATAAGTCATGCTTAATACTTGAAAACATAGGCATAACCCTTTTTACCTGTATCATATAGGATCCAGAGCGGCAGATGGAAACAGAAGGTAGAAGATTGTGTCTCTACATACATGGGGTAAACAATATATATGGATGATGATGGGGGAAAGATTATACACAGCCACCACAAGGAAAATCTCCTGTGCTCTCACCTCTGTAGGATCAGAAATGGGACAATTAATGGTGGCCAGAGAAAGACTGAGTCCATTTTTCAGGAAAAATGGAACTACATTGGATACCAACTAGGGATATATATATATTTTTTTTTAACTGTTTATTATGGTTTGGGTGAAACCAAATCATTTTCCATTCAACAATTCATATACATTTTGCTTCATGCCATTGATTGCAATCCCCTCGATGTAACATAACTCAACTCACTTCCTCTGTGTTTCCCATTTCCATTTCTCCTTCATTTCTATCCCTTCCTGCCTTCTGAACTTTGTCCTTGGGCAAATGCTGCCCTTTTGATCTGGAATGACTGATTGTTCTAAGGTGTGCATACCTCCCTGGTGTTATTATTTAGCTTATAGAATTGTCTGTTGTCTGGCTGAAAATTGAGCCATGGTATGGGGGTAAGTTCAGTTCCAGGCTTGGATGGGCATTAAGGGCCATAGTCTCAGGGGTTCTACCAGCCACTGTCAGACCAGTAAGCCTAGCCTTTTTTTTATAATTTTGAGTTTGTTCTACATTTTTCCCTCACTTCATCTAGTACTTTTCAACATGATCCCTTTCAGGGCAGTTGGTAGTGGTAGCCAGGCACCATCTAGTTCTTCTGGTCTCAGGATCATGGAGGTTGAGGTTCATGTGATCCATTAGTTCTTTGCACTAATTGTTACCATACATCTCTGATTTTCTTTATTCTTCTTTGCTCCGGATGGAAGGATGGGGAGAGACCAATAGTTGCATCTTAGAAGGCTGCTCACAAGCTTTTAAGACCCTAGTCACCATTACTCAACAAAGTAGGATGTAGAATATTTTCTTTGTGGACTAAGTTGTGCCAATTTACTTTGATGTCTCCCAAGACTATGGTCCTGAACCCCCAGACCCAGTGACTCATTTCCTCAAAGTGGTTATGGTTAAGAAGTTTTCATACCTTTGCCCCCTGTATTTTCTTCCATATTCATGGATATATTTGCAGCATATAAAAATTCATACATAATTAGGCGGGGCAAGATGGCGGACTAGGCAGAAGGATTGCACAGACCCTCTTCAACAAAGAAAAGGGAAACCAATTAATACAGACAC